CTTGCGACTTAGCTGCGACTTTCTCGCTACTTTCTTGCGACTTAGCTGCGACTTTCTTGCTACTTTCTTGCGACTTAGCTGCGACTTTCTTGCGACCTAGCTGCGACTTTCTTGCTACTTTCTTGCGACTTATCTGCGACTTGCTACTTTCTTGCGACTTAGCTGCGACTTTCTTGCTACTTTCTTGCGACTTAGCTGCGACTTTCTTGCTACTTTCTTGCGACTTAGCCGCGACTTTCTTGCCACTTTCTTGCGACTTAGCTGCGACTTTCTTGCCACTTTCTTGCGACCTAGCTGCGACTTTCTTGCTACTTTCTTGCGACTGATCTGCGACTTGCTACTTTTTTGCGACTTAGCTGCGACTTTCTTGCTACTTTCTTGCGACTTAGCTGCGACTTTCCTGCTACTTTCTTGCGACTCAGCTGCCTGGCTACCTAGCTGGGCCGAGTGGGACGCAGGCTAGAATGCGATTTGGGATTTTACTAGCCTGATTGTATACTTGTTTCTTGTTGCGGGAATGTCAGAGGTGACCAAGCTCTGAGAAATATTGATCATTTTATTAGTGGACACATTTTGTTTCGGACGAAGAGGACATATTTGCTAGATAAAGGTGAAAAAACGCCATTTCGCAAAATGGTAATTCTGGCAAAATTACTACTTTGCGAAACGAGTTCTTTTATGGTCAATAAAATGAGAGGTGACCAGGCTCTCAGAAATATTGATCATTTTATTACTGGAAACATTTTGTTTCAGAGGAACAGGACATATTTGCTAAATAAAGGTGAAAAAAACGCCATTTCGCAAAATAGTAATTCTGGCAAAATTATTAGCTCAGTGGTTAGAGCATCCGACTAGATCACGGAGGGTCGTGGGTTCAAGTCCCATCTGGGGCTCGGATTTTTCTATTACACTAAAATGAGTTCTATTATGGTCGATAAAATGAAAGGTGACCAGGCTCTTAGAAATATTGACCATTTTATTAGTGGACACATTTTGTTTCGGACGAAGAGGACATATTTGCTAAATAAAGGGGAAAAAACGCCATTTCGCAAAATAGTAATTATGTTAAAATTATTACTTTGCAAAACGAGTACTATTATGGTCAATAAAAGAGAGGTGACCAGACTCATAGAAATATTGATCATTTTATTAGTGAACAAATTTTGTTTCGGACGAAGAGGACATATTTGCTAAATAAAGGCGAAAAAACGCCATTTCGCAAAATTTCGTTTCGTTTCGTTTCGTTTCGCAAAATAGCATAAGCCCCCTTTCACCCAGTAAATTGTGTGAACGTCTTTCAAAATTTTTGTGCGCGTTGGTAAACCCTTTGACTGTACAGTTCCATTAAATTTTCACAGTTATTTGTTTCATATGACAGTTATAATACTTAAGAGCGTCGGCAACTAATATGGCTCCCGCTAGCATAGATTATTCGTACCACAGAAGTTGAACATTCCTTCGTCACTTACTGGTCGAAACGCGTTTCATATCTGTAATAGGCCCAGTCCCCTCGCATCACAGCACATGGCGATTTTCCAACATGGCGGACGGAGGTAGTGAAGACATTTTGGAAGCAAACGTTCAACAACAACTTTCTAGGATCGTGAAAGGTAAGGCAATTTTAGTGCGTCTACTCTGCTTTCCATTATATTGATGATCCAAAAATATTTCTTGCAGACGTACGCTCCGGAAACCTAGATCTTGTTGCTTTTGTTGAAGAACTAGGGTCACTGAGCTTTTATCCATAATTATGCGTTGAGTGTAGTATTTCGAGGTTATGTAATCTGTTATGCTTAGCCAAAAAAATTTTGGAAAGAGTACCATATAACCCCATACATTAATTATGCATTCTACTTCTTTGTCTTTCACGACAAAACTTTGAAAACAAAGTCTACTAGTATAATTACATAATTAATATATGGGGTTAAATGGTACTCTTGCCCAAATTTTTCCTGTTCATGAATTTTAAAGGTAAAAAAAGAATAGAACATTCAAAATCCCTTGTTTCTCGATTTTTTAAAGAATGCTTATTAGATTCACGATGCCGTCATCTTATCCTAGTGTATATTTAAGGTGCGCGGAATACATTCGGGCATTGGCGAGTGTTATTTACAATAATAATAGGGCTGGGTAGAGTCAGTTTCAAGGTACTCAACCGCTAACCAGTATTATTTATAATGATAACAGGACTGAATTGAGTCCAATTTGGTCTGTGATCATATATGTGACAAACAACACCGGACGACCATAAGGTGGAGATCGGATTGGACAACCTTAAGTCTCGTGATCAAGGAATGAGGAGAATGACATCACTTGATAAAGAAAATAGCCATTTTTCTATTATAATCATAAAAACATAACAGGTGACAGTTAACAGTTACTTTTTGCTTCCATCAAGAGATAATGAACCCAACAGTCTGTGTAAAAGCATGTGAAAATGATATGTGTACTGTTTGGTTACATAACCTGCAAGAGGCCTATGAAAATGATATATTACACTGTCCACTCACAATCATGACGCACACACACTCCATTTATATCTCAAACCAGGTTGCTGATAACCAGACCCAACTAAGAATTTTATAATAGTTTTGATTTACCTGCATTTGCATATCTATGTTCAGGCCACAGTTGACTTGTACTGATGTAGATAAGAGGTGCCATGGTGTGCGGTTGTTGTCTGAAGTCTTGCATCGCCTTGTTGGGTTTCAATTTAAAGAAAAAGAAGGTTGTTATTGTAAAGTCTTTAGAATATGAGCTTGTTATAGGCTCTTTGCTTTAACTTATTTTGACCAAGTGTTAATTTTGCTCTGTCAATATAGTTAGGGTGGTATTTATATCTAAAAACTAATTTTATGATCTGCCCACACTTTTCTGACCTATGGCAAGTTCTCCCACTGATTTTACCCAATGGGAAAGTAAATTCTGTTTTCATTAAACAGTAAGTGCTCTCAAGGGAGAGCTGGGTGATTTAGAAACAGAGCATACTCTTTCTGTTTGCAACAAGAAGGGATTGCAACCAGAGAGGTTAATACACTGATTGCAAAAATGTACATTATAAAATGAAATTAAGCATAAATTTAAAATGGTTTAATAGAATCTAAACTCAGATCAGATTTTTTTTGCTCCACCTGGTATAAAATTCATGAAAAATAAAAAGTGAGAGTGAAAAGGTGCCACAGTCTGTGGGAGAAGCCATGGTTACTGTGAGTACCACCATCCATCCATGAGATGCTGTTGACTTAAGGATCTCAGTTCAAAAATAGAAAAAAAATATATTAACTTGCTACAAGTTTTTGAGGGGTAACTCTAGTGATAAGAGCTGACAGAAAATAGAGCACTGTAAGAATTCTTTAAGCAGAAGAGAATCCAAGGACCATCTGATCACTGGCCAACCTTGTTCTCAGGGTCTCTCATCTTTGTGCCCCTTGGAGCAAGAGAGCAGAGGAGCAGGAAGATGAGAGGCCCTATCTTACAATGAGTTTCGATGTCAAGTTAATTATTAATAAGTTTCTTTGTTTCTTTTTTCAGTGGCATTGTTTTGTGAATTTCTGTGTGATAGACTCAAGGATCACTACACCATTATTCCTCATGCCTTGTTTGGTATTCTTGCCTTGGTATGTGGACTTTATTATTTTTGGCTGAGAAAAATATCTTCCTCCAAAACCTAACAACCCAATCAATTACTTCAGATACCTTCCCTAACAGATCGATTTGAAATTCTTGATGATGTGTCAAGGCTTTACCTGTTGATAAGGTGTATGTTGTGTTAGGGTCATTCCACAGTATTTTGCATGTCACGGAGGGGACAATTCAGAGGAGAATATCATGGATAGCTCCCCAGCTTAATATAACTCAGTTCACTGAGGACTTCTAATGGACAGAACAGCTAATGATTGTTTTAAATCAAACTATTTCCAAACAACTTCTTCCACATTTG